GTTGATGACATATTGCTTGCCACTAATGATATAGGCATGTTGCACGAAACCAAGAGATTTCTATCAAAGAATTTTGAGATTAAAGATCTTGGTGATGCCTCTTTTATATTAGGAATTCATATACATCGAGATCGTTCTCGAGGTATACTTGGATTATCACAAAAGAGCTATATCGATAAAGTACTTAAAAGGTTTGGCATGCAAGACTGGAGAACAGGAGACACCCCTGTTGCTAAAGGATACAAGTTCAGTCTCAATCAGTGTCCTAAAGGTAATCTTGAAATTCAGAAAATACAGAAGATTCCTTATGCTTCGGCTGTAGGAAGTCTAATGTATGCTCAGATGTGCACGCGTCCGGATATTGCGTACATTGTTGGGATGTTAGGTAGATATTTAAGCAACCTTGATATTGATCATTGGATAGCAGTCAAAAGGGTTATGAGGTATCTTCAGAAAACAAAAGATTATATGCTCATATACCGAAAATCAGAATAATTGGAGGTCATTGGGTATTCTGATTCTGATTTTGCTGGATGCCAACATAACAGAAAGTCTATATTAGGCTACATTTATATATTAGCAGGATGAGCTATATCATGAAAAAGTATTAAACAAACGCTCGTAGCTTTCTCCACTATGGCAGCAGGGTTTGTAGCTTGCTATGAGACATCAAATCATGGAATATGGTTGCAAAATTTTATCACTGGACTGCGAATTTTAGAAAATATTGAAAGACTACTAATGTTATTTTGTGACAATAAATCTGCAGTTATGTATTCCAATAACAAACAAGAGCTCAACTAAGTCAAAACATATTAACATTAAGTTCCTGGTTGTGAAAGAAAGGGTACAGAGTGGACAGATATCCATAGAGCATATTGAGATAAACTCCATGATAGCAGATCCTCTTACTAAAGGATTGTCACCCAAGGTCTTTCATGAGTACACTGCTCATATGGGTGTGGTGTTATTCGAGGACACCATGATTTAGTGGGAGTTTGTAATTTTCTGGTGCTTTGTGTTTGGTTGTATTGTCTGATCAGAATAAAGTATTCAGTTAAGACACTCTGTTTCATTATGTTTGGTTTTGACCTCGCTAAAGTTTAAGGTAGGATCAGCTAAAAATAGACATGTACTGATCATATTGCATGTAATTTTCATGCTACACATCCATGATTGATCTATGTCATTTGATTGTATTGGTATATGAGAGCATTAATGGGTTTAGTCATGATAAATGTGATGAAGGCCACTTTGATCCTATATTGATATAGTCAATGGACGAGATTGTTTTGGAAATACCCTTATTTATGATAGCAATTTTTGAGTTCATAAGGTTTTACACACTTTAAGGAAACATATGGTGCCCAAGTGGGAGATTGTTGGATTTAAATCTAACTAAATCTATTTGTGGGCACATATGTTATATCAGTGTGTGTTGCTATCTTTCAGTTGACACGCATAAAGTGATCAATCAGGTAATTGGGTCAATGGATATTTAAATATATCATGGGCTAAATGTGCGGATACCAGGTTGTAATTATAATTTGATGAGGGGACAAATTATAAAAGTATAACAACTATAAATAAAGGGTTATAGTCCCTAATCTAGGGTTACATTCTCTATTCTCTTAATCCTCATCTAAAGAGATTCTAAAGGAGAGACTGTCAAGATTAGAAGATCAAACCCTAATTCAGATTCGTGCAAATTCTTCATGGATTCAGGTATTGCTTTCGCTCTCTGTTGTGTTTATTCTCTTTGAATTAATCATGGTTTTATGGATTAGATTTCAGTTTTAGATCTAACAGTGTCACTTTTTAGGCTAATACGGTTTTTTAGCCTCTACGTTTGTATCTGTACTAGTTGACATGCACGTGCAATGCACATAGTTGAATATCATGATTATTTAAATTGATAAAAATAGAATAAAAATAAAAAAGAAAACACAGTTTTTGTGAGATTGATCATCAACTCAATAATCTCTCTCTCTTAAATAAAATATTGTTATTGTTTCCTTCAACCTAGGCTGTGGTTACGTGATATACTATTTATGAGTTATAAACACATTAATCTAGTACAACATCTCTGTTTATTAGTATCTTAAAGTCTTCAAAAGATGGGTGATCATTTAATTCATAAAGGAATTTTACATATAAATTTACTTGCAATATGTCCATTAAACTTTTAGTTGTGGTTTGGCTCATATTCACATTAACTTTCAATCATATTCACATTATCTAATATTCTCTTTCAATTTTATAGCTCATTCTCTATATCATAGAAGTAAAACTGAAAGTATGAAAAATTATTTTCTTGTAAAATTAGAGCAAAAAGATTATGATATATTTCGCCATGTGTTCTAAATATAAATTTTTTTCTTTGATGCAAGGTCCCTATCAAATCTTATCCCAAACAATGTGAATGAAAAATACTATTATAACTCACTTGTCTAGGGCAATTGTATTGTACATAGGACATATAACTCATGTAGAATATCCACATCTACTAAGTTAATTTTGCTGTTGTGAGAGAAAAATGTTAGAGACTCATATTTAAATTTTTTGACTCTATAGAAGACACAAGAATTTGGAGTGCATAACTTATATATCGTAAAGAACATACTAGTTTATGATTTTTTTTCTAATAACGATATTATTACAATAATATTACTATTAAGTATTAAATCAATTTTATTATATAAGATTATATGATCATTTTTAATAAATTATAAAGTATATATTTAAAAATCTCGATGCTTATGGCTAGTAGTTAGGCTCCACAAAATAGGTTAACCTTACATTGTAGTTTGCTATTAGTAGTACTGTTTGCAATGCCATTACCTTTCCTCTTTATCTTATTATTCACGCTTTTCTAATGTAAGTTCTCTTTTGCTAATCACTCAATTGGCAATATTTAGTTATTATAACATCAGATGTTAGAATATTCTTTTCTATTTAAAACGTATTGACATGATTTTCTTAAAAAATATATACATGTAGTAACAATAGCATATACTTCAGTTCAACTCAAACATTGGCTTGAAGCCATTTAGAGTGAGGTCCTTTCTACTCTAAAATGGTGATATAGTGATTATGTAATCCGAAAGTCAAAGAAAAAAATCCGACAAAGGAAAAGTAATCTAATATATCAAATTAACAACTAATTTATAAAATATAGATGGGTAGTATAGATAACTATAGGAAGTAATGTATATATCTTCATGAAAATTCCATAGTGAGTGACAAACTACAATCATCCTAATTTAAGCATAAATAATTATTATTTTAATTACTAATTTAATATGCATAACTATGGAATAAATCTTAAGAAAAAAAATAGGAATTAAGATTTGAATTATCCTGTAGGTTAATAAATAAACGTTATTAGAGCTCCTCTTTATATCAAACTTAAAATTAATAATTTAAATTATTAAGCGTCAAATATTAGTTCATGCGAAAAAGTAAAGTAATATATGGTCTATATACCTATATAATCAATCAATCAAACATATTAAAATTATGATGACCACAGTCAAAATTATATGGTGGGTTCACATTAAGTACAATTTAGGAAAAAATAGTATATTAAAGTTAAAATCCTTTTAACCACTATATAGATTGTCTAAAATTTTTTACATATATAAATTGTACTGCCTAGGAATAGTGATGTGCACACTTAACTATGGTCTAATACATCTTAAGAACGACTTGCTCTTCAATATCATTATTAATTAACGTATCTATGCATTACACTGAAAAAACAATAAAAATTTAGAAAACTACAAAAGAAACACCCTCAAAAGTTTTAAAAACTATAGGAAAAACACCCTAAAATTTTGTAATTTAAAAATATGCAAAACTATTAAACATTACATTGAAATCAAGGAATTACAAACAACTATTGAAAAATTTCAAACTTTGGAGGGATAATTTACAATGTACTAAACTTTAAGGGGTTTGTTGCAAATTTTAAATTTAATAGATTTTTTAATTAGTTATGTTTTTTCAAAAAAGTTATGGCTAATATTGACCATGAAAAGTTTTTCCTGAACTTATACTTTTAAAGGGAATATGATATTTTTTATAAATTTTTAATTTTCTAGGGGTTGTTAGTAATTTGTATATTCATTTTAGTATCTATAGGTTAGAAATTCTCAAGGTATTTTTTGGTAAATTGTGAATTTTAGGGTTTTTTTGTAAATTTTTAGACTTACAGGCCTTTTCTACATATTGTAAATTGTTTATAGATTATTTATAATTCCTATGTTTTCAATTTACTAATGTGTTTGAAATTCTCAGGGTGGTTTTTTGTAAAATTTGAATTTTGAGTGTTTGTTTATATTTTTTTTGAAATTTTGAGAGTGTTTTCTATAAATTATAAATTATGTAGGGGATATTTGTAATTCTTATAATTTCAATGTGCTATTAGGTTAGAAATTATTAGGATTTTTATAAATTTTATAATTTTTAGTGTTTTATTTTGCGATTAGTAAAAGTTCAAAGTGTTTATTGCAAATTCCATAAAATTTTGGAGGTTGTTTGTGTTATTTGTAGGTTTAAAATTTTCAAGGTGTTTTTTACAAAGTTTAAAATTTAATGGTATTTTTGTAATTTTTAAAATTTATAAAATATTTTTTCTAAAATTAAAAAACTTTTAGTTTCTAGCTAGCATATGTTTTCTAGATTTCTCGATGAATTAAAATAAGTAAAATTATAAATAGGATAAATCATTTAATAACTAATTCAAAGAAGATTGGATAACTAGAATAGATTAGGATAACAATATAATATTAAAAAAAATTAAGGATAATATTGATAATAAAAATATTTTTCTGAACTCGTACTTTTAAAAAGAGTATGAAGTATGATATGATATGATATGATATGATATTATATGATATGACATACACGAATTCGTGGGTAGTCATCCCATAAGGAGAGCTTTGGGCCTTAATACATCCGGCCCAACTTGTACGCTTACAGAAACTTGGGCCGAAAAGCAAACCAATACAGAGTCTCTGCGGATCCGATCAGAATCCAGAACATTTACATTTTTTTTCTGACTTCCGAAAATTTCCAGCTCGAGAGCTTCTCGAAAAAATTTCGCTCCTTTTTCAAGGTATGAAGTCTCCATTTTCCAATGCTCAAATTATTGGTTTCTAGCAGTAATTTCAGACTGATTTCAGTCGTTTTTTCAAGAACTAGAATTCGAACCGAGTTTTTCAAGAAATTGCAGTTTTCTCAGTCTAGGGCTCAAAATGACTGTAACTGAATAAGATTTTCGCTTCTCCGTTCATTTGATTTAGTTCACTGCAGATCTGAACACCAAGCTAGGTATTAATCTGAATTAGTTTCTATTTCTTTTTATTTTCTTCATATTTTACCATTTTTTCCCTCCAATATTTTCAGCTCGAGCTTCTCGAATTTTTTTTTCCTTTTTTTTTCAGGTACGAAATTTTCCTTTACTATGCTCAAATTAGTGTTTTCTGAAAGTAATCTCAAATTTCGTTTAGGCGCCTTTTCTAGAACTAGGTTTCGAATCAAAATTTTTCAAGAAGTTGCGACTCTGGAGTCTAGGGCACAGAATGATTGTTGTTGGTCAGGATTTTGCTTCTTTTTTTTTTTACTTGATTTAGTTCAAACAGATCTAATGCTAACCCAGGTATAATTTTATGTATGAAGTATGAACTAATTTCTTTTTCTTTGTCTTCTCTTTTTTTGTTTAAGTAATATCATTAAAATTTTAGGATTTCTTTCCGCTGGTGCAAAGTTTGTATGATAGATGTTTTATTTTTCTTTCTAATATTTTTAATCATAGTTTATGTTCTGTAGGTGTTACCCCTTGTTCAAAGGCCATTAGTTCAATTTGTAGTTACTATTGTTATTATTGGTACTGTGAAGCAGTTACTAGTGATAGTGTGGTTGTGGTAACTAAAACCTTCAAGAAATGAGGGGGAAATTAGTCAAATGTTTAAAATTGAAAAATAAATAATTAAGCACGAAAAAAACGAAAGATTAAGCTGACCTCAGAATGGTTTATTAGTGTTTTGATTGCTTTCTTAGAACCAGTGAATCATGGACAACTGTGTAGGCATTGAAAAATGCTAAGAAACGAAGGAGGGTCGAACCTCACTACAAGCACGACGAGGGTCGTCATAACGACGAACCTCAGCCTCAATTCATGAAGTTTGTCTCAGTTAACTAGGACAAACAACACCTCACCCCTCAGAAGACGAACTTCATCATTGAAAACGAAGTTCACCCAGAGATGAAGTTCGTCATTGAAGACAAAGTTCGCTAGAAACAAAGTTCGTCATTAAAAACGAAGTTCGTCAGAAACGAAGTTCGTCATTGAAGACGAAGTTCATCATAAACGAAGTTCGTTATTGAAGACGAAGTTCATCAGAAACGAAGTTCGTCATTGAAGATGGAGTTCATCTAGAAACGAAGGTCGTCATTGAAAACAAAGTTCGTCATTAAAGATGAAGTTCGCCGTTGCCATTATTGACGAACCTCATGCATACCCGAACCTCGTCTGTCACAATTTTTAGTGGCTACATTTAAAGAGAGTTAATGACCACTAACTCACCCATTTAAGAAGAGTTAATGACCACTAACTTACACATTTAAATGAGAGTTAATGATCACTAACTCACTCATTTAAATGGGAGTTAATGACCACTAGCTCCCTCATTAGAAAGGGAGTTAAAGCCCATTAATTCACTCCATAGTGGTCCTAAGCCTATAAATAAGCATGATCAACATGAAAGGAGGGGTGAGGGGATTGAGAGGCTAGTCAAAAAGCTTATCTCTCCTCCACTCATGGATCTTCATAGATCATCGGCTAATCATTTAGCCTTGGAGCGTTGAAGTTCATAACAAGCATGACGAGAGTGATTACAATGACGAACCTTGTCTCAAATAACAAAGCTTGTCGTTGGAAACAAGATTTGAAGCGCGTCAATGAAGACGAATCTCGTCGGACGAAGTCAGTAAAGACAAAGTTCGTCAGAAGAAGCTCGCTATACTGCAAAGTCTGCCTTGCCAGACGAACCTCGTTACGTATTGAGGCTCGTCTGATATGATGAACCTTTTCATGCAGCGAGGCTCGTCGTACATGGGAGATCCAGCTGTAACGACTTTGAAGACTTAGTCAGCTATGTGGGCTAAACTTCAGGAGTACGTTACGTCTCATTAACTAATGTGGGCTAAATTGGAGGAGGCAATTACGTCATTTACCCACAATTTTAGCACGTCGGTTACGTGCTAAAACTCTAAAAATAGCCATGAACGACTATGAAGAAGATAGCTTTTGGAGGAGTTTTGGCGATCGCGTGAAGAGAGATTAGTGTCTGCATTCTCGTGATCTAAGCCACCATCAGAAACTTTTATGATCTTATTATGATTGTCAACGAGAAGCAATATCGGCTTGAGCATCGAGAGAAGCATCATTTCGTCACCAAGAAACCACTTTTAAACAAAAGAGAAGTCAAATTAATCTTTTCTTCCTCTGTAATCGAGATAGTGAGTGAGTGATTGTAAGGGATTCGTGCTAAGTGATCGAACTCATTTTTTAAAACAAAAAATCAATCAAACTTTAACTTTTCGACCCTATAGAAGATGGCGATAGTGGGAGAAGCCATTATTTTCGACGAACTGGTGATGGCGCAGTCAGACAAGATTGCGGTGGGAATTGAAGTTAAGACTCTGGTCATCGAGTTTGACCAGACCAAGTATGAGGAGTTCATCCCCTTTGGTGCTTCTAGTCCTACGAAGGCACGTAAGTGCCGTCGAGTTTCTTACGAGACTTCAGCCCACGTGGCTTCTGATAACTCGATTCGAGTGAACCTAGAGGAGAAAACTTTGCCTCTGAAAGATAAGGCCGCGAAAACCAGCCTTCAGGCTAAAAGATGGGTTGTCAAACAACCTAGCCAAACTTCGACTGATAATGAACAACCTAGCCAAACATTGGCTTCTGTTGTTGAACCTCGCCCAGCTTCGACTGAGGCAGGATCTACCTCGGGTCCACTTTCGAGACGCGCGCAACAACGCCAACGTCAGAATCAAGCTCGTCGTAAGGCTCGAGCCTTGGTCTCGTTGGACGGTTTCAATTATCGGCCAAAAGCTAATCAACCTAGGGCTAATAAAGTCTGTCGAGGGTCGAGTGGCTGAGGAACGTCAAGATGACGAGCCTCATCTCCGCACCTAAGCAAGCCTAGAAAACGAACCTCGTTCTCAAGACGAGGTTCAGTCAATTCGAGAAAGCCATGTTCAGGTTTATCAGAAGGACGAACCTCGAGCTAAGAGCCAATCGAGAAAGCGAGTATGCCAAGCTCGTTCTACCAACGAATGTCACGCCCCGCTTCCCAAAATACCGGGGAATTGGAACGTGAACAAGCCCGCGACGTGTTAGATTGAGGAGAATAAATAAAAGATCATTTCTTCTCAATTTAATACGCTAAACGTCAAGCAATAGAATGCAAAGTCATAGGTCCCCGGTCACAATTAGCAAGAATATAATAAATAATTCAGAATAGAAAAGAGTCATATCACAAATAGAATATCATCCGAGACACAAAGTTGGGTCAACCATGTCCTTATTACAAAACAATCCAACTAAAAATATAAAAATACATAGTCCAACAGGAATAAAAAGGAAGTACTGTAAAAATAACTAAATCCCTCAAAAGACTAAAAGAGAAAGTACTACATAAGTAATCTAGTGTCCATCGGCAACTGCAGAAAAGAAATAGCTAAGCTTCAGTTTGTTCTTCTACTCCATTTGAAACACTCCGGCTTGGCATACCCCGGCTCCAATGCATCTCCATACTGAACATGTCCGTCCTTTAAATCTGACGTACACCAGAGAAAACATGTGTACGTCAGCGTGCATGACACACAGCAAGACCCCACAAGGAAAATTAGAAACAGTCGAATGACCAATAAAATAACCGATGCAACAACAGAAATAACAATAGAAACGTACAACGGGAAATCTAACAAATCAAAATGCAATCGACCACTAGATTATAATAATCATAAGGAGCCAACATTATATCAATAACAAGGTCGAGTACTAGCCATCCTAAATATCTCACTAGTCCACATCTCAAATAGATCAATGTTCGCATTTTCGGGTAACTGACTGTTCATGATCCTACGACGGAGGTGATGTTGTTGGTCGGAGGGGTGACGACGGCGTAGGCGGCTGTGGTGGTCGGAGAGGTGGGGCTTGATCGGGGCGGATCTCGTGTAGGAGGCGACGGTGGAGGGAGAGCTGGCTGTGAATGTGGCTGGGCGGAGGAGGGGAGGGGATTGCGGCTGGAGGTTTGCAGCGAGGCTGGCAAGGCCGCCGAGCGACGCTGGCGAGTGGGAGAGGGGACTTGCGGCTGGGGGTTTGCAGCGAGGCTGAGAGCTCGACTCATCGTCAGCAGATGTCGTATCTGAAACCGGATGCGTAGAGACCCGCGAGTCCTCCGAGAAGTGGCGGCCTCTGTCTATTCGGCTCGCATGGGGCTGCCCCTCGTAGACGACCGAGTTCGTGTGCGTCGCGCGCAGGCGTGTACTCTCGTGAAGCCCGCCTTTGGGGCAGTCCGTTCTCCTATGACGTACCTAAATAAACCTGCGTCAGTCGGGTTGTATGAACTTACGAAGCCCAAGAATCTCATTAATACAGGTAATCCTATATGATATGGTAAATAGGTCGGGAGTGAAAGATCATCGTCTGATGAACCACTGGTCCGATCTGGTCGGCAATTGAATCTTAGGGTATATAGATAATAATTAAGGAAAAATGGAATAATAATATTTATAATTAATACAATACTTATAACAACAATAACAATAACATAACAAATTTTAATTCAGAGGTTTTCACTGCATCAAGTTAATTTATAATTATCAAAATCATTTAAATAAATATAAAATTAGATTTTTAAATCGTAGAAAATTTTAGAAAATCGAGAAAATACTAATACTCTTTTAAAAATAATAATTGAATATTTGAAAATACCAAAAAAATTATTTTAACTAGTATCGAAAATTCATGATCATTATATTCTACCTCCTTTAAAATAAATTTCGCCCTCGAAATTAAAATAAGAATGATGCACAAGAAAA